CTTGCATGCCAGCCCCCCACGCGTCATGTTCCCACGGCCCCATCCGTGGCAGAGAAGGCTGCTCCTGTGCATGCGGCCGGCTTGGCCCCTCTTCCTGAGAGTCCCCCCCATTTGCCAAGCCCACACCCAGCAGACTCCCCAGGTTGCAGGCCAGATCCAAAGGAAGGGGTTGGGGTTTCGTGCGCTTTCCCAGCCACTAAAAGCTGGCCTCGGTCCCCAGGGCCTCCCCAGAAGAGTGGCCTGCCTTCTCACATCTCCTTTATGTTCACCTCAGTGGCTAAAGGGCAGGCTTTTGGGTGCAACCCTGCGACATGAAGCAGGATTGCTGGCCCCGGCCCAGACCCTCCCAGGAAAGACCCAGGAGTGGTCTTGCTTGGGCTCCATCTTGGAACTCCCCCTCCCTTGGCCTTCCATTGTGCAGGACGCCCCCCTCATTTGGGGAGACAACCCACCGGCATCTTTTTAGGCTGGCAGCTCAGATGCCTAGAATTGCCTGCCACTCAGATGCCTAGAATTGCCTGCCTGGTTCCCCTGGGCCCTGCAGTTGCAGGAAAACAGGCAGGAGGTTCTGGGTTTCCTTCCTGACCCAGTTCTCGCTAAGTGAAGCCTCTTCTGTTGAATGCTGTGCAGGATAATAAATCAGCATGCCACCTTTTCAGCTGTGTGTGGGCATTCTGTGCAAAAGCATGTAGACCTTTTTATTGACCCATTTGTGCTCCTGGAAACAGGTACCATTGGCCAGGCTCACACTTCACACAAAAGCAGATCTGTGTCAACCGTTCATTTGCAACTAAGCCTCCCAACACGTGTGTTCCAAACCAGCCCTATCGGCTTAACACAGCGTCTGATTCCAGCCCCAGGGAGGCGGGTCGAAAGGGGCTGCTGGATGCTTGTAGCAGAATTGCACTCATGGAGAGAGGACCAGACAAGGAAATTACGCTATTTGAAATGCAGAATTTAATAAAGAACAGATCTGGACAGAAATACACCATCACTGAAGTTCCCAATTTGACCACAGTAATGCGTCTTTGCAGCCAAGCGTGGGCCTGGCAACCAGGTGGATGCACCCTAGACACGGGACCAGCCACCCCAATGACAATGGTTCCTACACAGGCATCGCCCAGATGGCCTGTTTGTCCTAAAATTGTGAAATTGCTTCCAAAGGGGGCCCACACAAGGAGGGAATCCACAAGGAAAAGCATTTTGTAAAGATGGCACAAAATGATGTACAGAATAAATAGAGCCATTTGCATACGCTCATTTTGAAAAGGGGAACACCAAAGGGAGCTGGTTCCTGCCAACCCCCTCCTCTGAACGTGGGGATCCTGCAGGCCCTCAGAAAGGCGGGTGAAGGGCCTGGAAGGGGATGAACAAGGGCACAGGGGCGATCCAGGGAGTATCAGGTGCCCCCCCAGCTTGCTGCACTTCTGGGCTGGCAGCATGTCCCAGAAAAGGGTGGGGAGGGCAGGGGGCTGCTACCAGATTCCAGTAAGCAGACCCTAGATAGGAAGCGGGGCCAAAAGTGCAGCACGGTAGGCTGAGGGAAGCTGGGATGGTCACCAGGGTTGGCAGGGGCAAGGGGGCCCCTGCCGGGGGAGAAGTGCCAAAGTTATACCAGGGGGACAGTTGGAAACAGTCTTTGCAGCAGGTGGGGACAAGCTGAGGGCTAGGGGCTGGGCAGGGGCCCTGCTGGCTGCTCTCGCCGAGGGGGTGGAGGCAGCTGACGGAGGCATTGCAGCTGGGGTGCTTGGGCCCAACCCCAGGGTCTTCACTCAGCGGCTCCAGCAGGGACTTGATGGTGAAGGAGGTCTGCTTGGGCGGCTGGGGGGTCTCTTCTGTGCCAGGGAGGGCTTGAGCGGAGACTGGCGACCGGAGGGGAGGAGCACTGCCAGAAGACAAGTAGGAACGGCCATGCAGCACGAAGGGACTGAGGTCTGGGACAAAGGCAACTTCCCCTTGGCGGGAGATGGCTGTGTTCTGCAGCCGGAGGGCTTCGGGGGGGATGCGCTCCACGTCCACGGCCCAGTAATTGCCCTTCCCCTTTGGCTTGGCGGGGTCCTTTAGCACCTGTGGGAGATAGAAGGGGTCTCTCTAAGGAGGCAGGCCCTGGGGTGGGGGAGGTCATCGGCCAGGAGGCTCCAGCTGGAGCAGAGATCAATTCCTGTACGCCTCAGGCCAAGAAGACGGGTTCTGAAATCCAGGGTATCTAGAGACATACTTGGCTGGAGAAGACTCTTCCCAGAAAGTCCTTCTCAGGGCAATTGTCAGGGAAATAAATTTTGATGCTAAAACAGAGTCAAAATTGGCTCACTCACTCACAGGTGTGAGCAATAAAAAGCTTAGGGATAGCTAACCCAAACTGATTGGCTACAAGTAGTATAAAAGAGAGCCTAGCAAGTTTCTCTCTCTCTGCTATGACTACGTTGCTGTTAGATTGTATCTGCTATTGAGTTCCTTGCCTGATGTAAGTTGCTTTACTGTTATTTGTAAATAGGCTGCACATGAAGAAAAACTACGGATTGTCTGTGTTTGTTTTCTCCTAATACCGATCACTAGTTTAGCAAACTGCTTTGCCCTACTCAACAGCAATACTTGACCTTCCTGCTGTTTTTCCCAGCCAGAAAGTTCATCTACGTTGCTTGTTTCTGGCCGCTTAGAAAGAGGAGGTCTAAAACCTTGGCAGCCTGCCTGTTTCAAGCAGATGCAAAAGCAAATGGTCTCTCCCCACCCTTCAGATCCCCCAGCCTTACGGAGCCCTGGGGATTTGGGGAACACTGACTTCCCCCCCCAGACTTGGCGACCTACCACCAGGCTGGGAAACTGGAGCAGGAGGGAGTGGTCACCCAGATCCTTTGGCCTTAGTCCAAGGCACCGGGGTGGGGGCGCTGCTGGAGCAGAAATCTGAAGCCCACCTAGAGGAGGTCTGATCCTTTGGGGACTTAGACAGGGCCAGGCACCCTGGTGTCTCTGCTTGTTCTGCAGGCCCCACCAGTCCCAGGTAGAGAAGGGCCCTGGGGGCCCACCTGGCCTTAAGAGGCACTTTGGAGAGGAGGCCTCCTTCCAGCCCAAGGCCCCCAACCCTTCCTCCCTGTGCCCCACGCCCTCTGCCCCTCCTTACCATAGTGAAGCAGTCGTTGGCAGAGAGGTTGTGGCGGATGGAGTCCTTCCAGCCCTGGTAGGTGTCCTTGAAGAAGGGGAAGAAAGTGCTGATTTCCCTCGTAATCTGAGAGAGAAAAGAGACCCCCGTCCTCAGAGCTGCGGACCAGGCAGGGCTCCTCCATCCGCGGCCCCCCGGAACGCTCTTCCGGGGCTGGAGGCTCCGCGTGTGCCGGTGGAGGCCCCCGACCCTGAACCAAGGGCGATGCCAGGCGCACAGGAGGGTCGGAGGCGCCGCTGCCTGCCCGGTCCCCATCCGCGCAAGTGGGGGAGCAGCGGAGCGGAGCAAAGCCCACGCCGCGTCCCGCCCGTAACGCCCGCCGCCGGGGCCAGAGCCGGAGTCGAGCGCCCCAGGGCAGCCGACGGCGCCAGGGCTCCCCGAGGCGAG